GCTTCCGCTGGCGTGGTTGTGTAAAAGACTGCCGCTCCTTTTGGAGTACCTATCTGGACTCTGACCATGCCTTGGTCTGCGCCAATCTTGCCTTACTTTTCAGTGGACAACGAAGTGACCACCACCAAAGGATTGATATTAGCAAGCTGGTTGCAACCTCTGTTGCAAATAAGTATCGAACCGAGCTAGCTTCTAGGCTAGCTACCACTCCACCGAAAAGTATAGATGAGCATTGGTTGCAATTGCATGACGCCATGAAAATGGCGGGAACAGTCAGTTGTGGGTTTGCGAAACGTCCCGCTTATAAGCACTGGGTTTCTTCTGGTTCCTTACGACTTATTGAAGCCCGTCGGTCGACTCCGGGTGACCGTGAGTTTGACCATAAACGAAGGATGTTACGTAGGGAAATTGGGCAAAGCTTGCGTAAGGACCGAGAAGCCTGGTGGTCGGAGCGTGCTAATGAGATGGAAGCAGCAGCTGCATCTGGTAACTACCGGAAGCTCTTCCAGCTCATCCGAGCCACTGGCAGCAAGAAGTCTGGTGTGAGTGAAACAATCTGCGAGGATGATGGGATGCCAATCACTAACATCCATCGACGTCTTGGACGATGGGCAGAATTTTTCGAAGGGCAGTTCAACTGGCCTGCTGCTCCGGCAACATCGGTCAGACTGTCCTGCCCTCCATGGCCGGTGACGACTGATCCACCGAACGAGGAGGAAGTCCGCAAGGAACTCCAACTCTTGAAGCGTTACAAATCACCTGGCCCAGATGACTTACCTCCGGCTCTTTTTAAAGATGGTGGTGACATTTTGACTAAGGAATTGACGACGTTGTTTACAAAGGTTTGGGAATTAGAGAGTGTACCAACGTCATGGAATGAGTCGATAGTTGTCCCTATCTTTAAAAAGGGTTCACGTCGTTCCTGCAACAACTATCGGGGGATAAGTCTACTTCCGATCGCGTCCAAGCTATTGGCTTCCGTCATACTTCGTAGGTTGTTCAAAACCCGAGAAAGATTGACTCGCGAGGAGCAGGCTGGGTTTCGTTCTGGTCGAGGTTGTATTGATCATATCTTCACCCTCCGCCAAATGTTAGAACATCGCCATACTTATCAAAGGCCAACAATCGTAGTGTTTCTTGACATCAGGGCTGCCTTCGATTCGTTGGACAGGACTGTTCTCTGGGATTGTCTATTGAAGAAGGGTGTGCCTGAGAAGTTTATTAACATCCTAAAAGCCCTATATAAAAACACCTCAGGCAGAGTGAGGGCATACAACCACCTCTCTCCATTGTTCTATACGAGTAGTGGGGTTAGGCAGGGTTGCCCAATCTCGTATAGTGAAAGCCAGAGCGGCTTATGCCAATCTGGGCCACCTTTGGCGCCTTCGTGATGTAAGTCTGGCTGTAAAAGGTCGGATCTACAACGCGTCGGTGAGAGCAGTTTTGCTCTATGCTTGTGAAACCTGGCCTCTCCGAGTTGAGGACGTTAGACGACTCTCTGTGTTCGATCATCGCTGTCTCCGAAGGATTGCTGACATTCAGTGGCAACACCATGTTAGTAATGCAGAGGTTCGGCATCGTGTGTTTGGGCACAGAGATGATAATTCAATTGGTGTCACCATCTTGAAACACCGACTTCGGTGGCTTGGACATGTTCTACGAATGTCGTCCCAGAGAATTCCACGTCGTGCATTGTTTGCCGACTCTGGGACTGGTTGGAAAAAGCGGAGAGGTGGTCAGTGCATGACATGGTGTCGTGGTATGAAAGAAAGCTGCAAAGGACTGGCTTCTGTCGGTCCTTCACGACTCCCTGGTTGGGGTCTGAGAGATGGTGCTACACAGTGGCTAGAGACGTTATCAGATATGGCTCAGAATAGAAGCCAGTGGCGATCCTGCTGTAACCTTCTTTTACTTTCTTCATAAAAAGTGGTTGTGTCTCCCTTACTTGAAAGATTTCTTCCGATTGTACCTTTCCGTTCCATCGTTACGACCGCACTACCTTTCACCAATCTCTTTGTTATCGTTCTCTTTTTCATTTGTGCTCCTTAGTTTTTTGTTTTTTTTTCTTTTCTCTCTTCGAATTTTCATTGTTTTGTGTGGCGCATATATATTGGCGCTCTCTTGTACCAATATTTATGTGCTCAAATAAATAAATAAAATAAATAAATACGAAAAACAAATGGATTCCTACTAAGTCTGTTGCACTGATGGATTCTCGTAAACTCATCCCATCAGACCCTGAACATTATGAAGAACGAAAACAAATCAGATCTAGGTTAACCAAAAGTCTAAGGAACGACTGTGAGCAGTGGTGGGCAACGAAAGCAAAAGAGATGGAAAAGGCAGCGGCTGTAGGTAACACAAGACAGCCCTTCATACTAATAAAATAAACTGGAATTAAGAAATCAAGTAATAGTGTGGTAAGACGCAGGGTATTGGAGAATGATGGTAAATCAGTTGATGAGGTTGTGAAGTTTCATCTGCTGAGATGGTTGAGCCACGTGTTACGTATGCCTGAACATCGATTACCACTTCGCGCAATCCTGATCAGTGTTGAGGATGGTTGGAAGAAAGTTAGGAGCAGAGAAACCGAAACGTGGCACCGGTGTTTGAAGTCACTAACTTCTGATCTGAGCCATATTGTTGGATGCAGACAACTTGGTTGAGGTCCGCGCGACTATCGTAACCAATGGTTGGAGACTCAGGGTGACAGGGCTCAGGATCGATCACAATGGTGTAGGTGTATACACGCCTCGTCTCCTCTTAAACTGAGAGATTAAAATCACTTTGTATATTTCTTTCTACCAACTAACTCTTTGTTCCTGTACTATGTCCTTATACACAGTCTCTTTTATATATTACTACCATTGAAGTGACTAGTTCTATGAATTCGGTGCTCATCTTGTTGTACTAGTGAGGTGTGTCAACTTGGACCTTTGCATAAACGTGCCTGGCTCTACATTGTAGCTGACTGACTACCTATAGAGAAGCAAATACAATAGTAAATATAATAAAAAACAACTTTAGGGAAATATTTATGATATAAAGCAGTTGGTGACAAGTCTTGGATTTGAAACCATATCACATTTCTCTCGAAGTGTTAATATGTGTCTGTCTCCGTGTTGAGTACGCGACTTTCAGGTTGTCAGAACTTCAACTTCAAAAAGCTGTCACTAAACCCAGAGGTTTATATTAACCACTTACAAATCGGATACTGGATGACATGGCCAACAGAATATCAGTAACAATAAGAATTTAACTGTGCCACATGAAATCTTCGGATTGAGAAATTCATGTGCGACTTGTCTGACTAACGAACAGAATACGTTTACCTCAGGTATTCATCAACGTAGTTGGTGAGTGAGAAACTCATGTAATTTTTCACAGAATCTAACCGATAACTCAAATCAAAATGAGATCAGAAGAAAGCAGTTGATTAGCATACTATGACCCCAAAGATCATTAACCTGGTTCACGAGCAAGGTCGGGCACTGTGATTGGAATTTGAGAACATCAGTCAAATCAAGACTTAACATTCGAAACTGACTACCAATATTAAAGCATGAGTTCACAGTTAAAGAATTATGGTGGTGTTATATTAACGTCTGTGCAGACGTTAAGGATACTCTAATATATTACATGTCAATTAAGTAAATAGTTATAACGATTCTGAAAACTTTGATTAAAGAAAGGTTCAGAACAGTTATTTTCACAGCATATTCAATTCGATACAGTTGAATAACGACGTTAAATTTTTCCCTGTAGGATAAAAATAGGGAATCACATACTCTTTAGATCTGTGGTTGATATCTATGGATTTATTGACGTCAGCATTGGTCAGTCATATGCAATGTAAAATTTCATACACACCTGTGTCGATAAGTTGCAATACCAACTTAGAACAGCGGGATAAAACCATTTCAAGACATATTCCTGAGTTGAAGCACTATCGCCAGCCAAAAAGATCAATAAAATTCACACGATTCTATCGTGAATTACCGGCAATTATCATCCTAGAATGAAACCCTTCATCAGTATGCATCCATAACCCCGGATTCGGGAATTAAGCTTAGAACCTTCGGTTCCGCGCGCGAATGTTTAACTTCTAAACCATTAAGCCTGGATCCAGCGGTGTTGATTCCTAACTTTAAGTAATGCCGTGTACTGAGGAGTCCCATACCAGGACGAAATAGTCGTTCAGTGTTTCTAAGCTCTCAGTGGTGATTTAGATATGATCGGTTCGTGATTTAAACTGTGAAAATTCTACGATCCCTCATATTAATCATTATCGTCCTGTTGCTTAAAACCTTACTGTTTTCCTATTTAAAAAAAACAATTGTCGTAAAATTCGTAAACAAACTAATCAAGAATAGTTCAGATAGTACTGTGGTGTGAGCTACTTATATTGACATAAGTAGTATATAACGTGCGTTAAAAGGATGTAATGTCTGGCAGCAGAAAATGGAGAAGATCAAGAAAAGAAGAGCAAGAACGCAATGGAATTTGTAAGAAAACCTATGAACAATGAAATGGGAGACAATGGATTAGTGTTTGCAACTTGAACAGTACAGTTTGATATGATGCATTGATAATTTGCAAATTGACGATTGACTTTATGGTATTCAGATTTTGTTGAGACAGTCTGTAATTTTCGTGCTAAATACATTCGATTGTCCCCACCCGTGTTCTTGTTCACTACAGTACCAGTATTACGAGTGAGAGAGATGACCTAGACAAATATCGGTGAGTTCTTAATAAATAAAAACTTGTTTCCGATGAATGACAGTACTTTATAGTGTAAACCCAACGAAGTAATTAAGTAAAAGACGTGAAATTATGAAAAGAAAATCATTATTTAGAAGAATCAGGTACAAAGTATCTTGAATATTATCAAACAAAGATTATTCTGAAAAGTAACTTGTTCAAAAAAAGTACGTATCAATGAATGTTTCCTTATCAAACCATCTAAAAGAAAGCCGGAAATCTGTATAAAAAACCTCTCATCTATATTTTAATATTATATAGAACAACCATTCTGGTATTCGAATAAAACTGGGTATAAACTTAGCAATATAGTAGCCTTTATATGAAAGAAGATATTTCAAAGACCTCACGTTTACGATTTCTCGACCACAATCTTCGTGTATACCGTATTCCTCAGCTAAATCACTAACAAGGAATATATGACCTGACCGAGAAAGTAGTTTCTTGGGTGATTCAGCAGCCATACCTACTACTACGCGACCAACTAACTCAGGAGATTCACCTGAAAAATAATTAAAGTCGAGAAGAAAATGCAGTTATGTAAATACCAGCTTTAAGGTTTGACATGAATATTCTTAACAAATTAAATGGTAATTACATTGAGGTTTCAAAAATATGTCATATAAAACTACTTTTTCAAATGTGTCGAAAATATTTTATTCTAAAATGTGAAGACTTTATCAGACGATAATGTGAACTAAAATGTCTATAAAGCATCAAACTTGTTGATTCAAAGGTTCAAGAACATATGTTATTTGTTCGATCAAGACTAATGTTGACTATGTCATTCCGTTAGTTGAAAGTGTAATCGCAGTCAGCACTGGTGACCGAGTAACAAGAAGAAGCTGAATTCTATACAAACTCAAGTAGATGCATGAAAGTTAATCGGTGCTTGACGAACATTTTTTAACCATCAGTTTCTCCAATATCTCAGATAAGTATTGATGATGGAACTTGACAAACACAGAATCGCAAAACTGTTTTCTGACCAAATATCTGTTAACATTTTAAGTCAAATACAATGCTCTACAATGTTAGGCTAATTGAATGCGTTTCAGTGGAATGTTTGTGCGAAAATGTTGACATGATGTACAGGGAATGAGTAAAATCAGATTTTTTAAAAGTATATCAATTGGGAAGGCTTAAATGACAATGCACACCAACAGAATAGCACATGTGTATTAGTATTGATCAGTTTCTTTATTTTATTTATTTATTTGAACACAAATATTGGTACAAAGAGGCACTTAATACATATACGCCACACAAGTCACTTGATTTGTATGTAAGCTGGGATACTGCCCGGGTGCCCAGACCGAAGCAGGTGGTTTTCTTAGAGGAGCCACACCCGGAGCCTTCGACCTAAAGGTCTGATCCACAAGGCAGTGGAGCAACGTTAGGAGATGCAGTTCCATGGTAGCCGGTGACCACTAAATTCATTTACACAGTAAGTAATAAAAAGACAACCGAGTTTCAAATGTTCATTGTTTATGTTAGCTTCTGTTCTGGTCTGAATAAAGGTTGATTTACTAGAAATATCTAATATCAAAACAAAAAAACTATTACTTGATTAATAAATCTACAGAAAACACTTCAAAAATAGGTATATGGATTTAAGAACAATTGAACAGCTAAAACCACGTAGTCTGAGGCAAAACGAAATCAAAGATATACGTTATACCAAACACTACGGTGGTGGTCAGGAAGTATTTACTAAATATAAAAGTAAAGTCAGACCAATATTAAAACATAAATACATCAACGTACTGTTTTCTATATTCATTGTGAGAGAACCTTTAGAAGCAGCGTCAAGAATATGCTCTGTACGAACTAATCCAGGAGAAATTCCGACAATCGAAATGTTAACATTTTCCCTTCTTAATTCGTACGCCATATCATGAGTCATGCGATCTAGTGCTGCTTTACCTGAAATTGTTTTGATAATAACTTGAAAACTTTCAAGGGAAAATGTTGGACAAAAGTCAGTGGTAAAATATACAAACAGCCAAATTGTTTAACTACTTCAGTTAAACAGAACTTTAAAGAACTATTCTGAGGGAATTTCATACCAACATGACTATTCTTAGTGATTTTAGATGAATTGCAGCTTATTAACGGTTCTATTGCGCTTCAATGATCTGTTTGTTCATAATCCAACTTTGAAGTTAATTTTTATATTACGCTTCTTTATATCGAAATCTGTCGATTCAGCAGATTTGCTTTCCTACGATGAATTTTGATTATTTACTATATGTGGAACTGTTCATAACATGTTTGAACAATAGTACTATTTACGTACTACAGTCAAGTTTGATTAAACACAACGAAGATCTGATGCATCGTGTGATGCATATTTAGTCTATCAATCAGTCACAAGCACAGACTTGACCCAAGTCGTCATGTCATTACAGTAAGGTGCGAAATTAATAAGATGAACAATAACGGAACTGAAATAATGTAGTATCAATGATAGTAGGAAAAGCTAATGATGCTTTTTAATACAACTCAGTTTCCAACGCGCATCAAAATCATATACATACAAAAAATTCTGTAAGATTTGTGAATACAACATCCCAGAAACATTGACTGTTACAAACCTTATAGATTATGAGGTTTGACGGTACAAGCCTGTTTTATAAACAGAAATAAATCAGTAAAGCGAAGATATTTCTTTTCAATTAGTTCTTCATCATACCTGTATGCTAATATATATATAACATTAAGATAATACTATTCGAGTAGTAGTGTAACAATAAATATATAATTTCAGGGTGATTGTAATATAATACCAAATGATTGTGTAAGTGGAAGGAGGATTACAATTATTAAAGCAATTGTTTGTAAAAACTGAAAGAATTTAACTAAACAGTTGCTAGATCACATAATATTCCACAATGGAATTAACAACTGATTTCGATCAAATCAATTTCATAGTGTTTGTGTAATAATCAAGAATATGCAAAAATAAAAAAGTGACATATCAGAAAATCGATTGAATAGTTTTCGAAAGAATGGAAGTTAATTAAAATTCAGCAAAAACTCATTCTTATATTGATGCCCAAGGTTGTACAAATTTAAGTCCGGCTTATGAACATGAAACTCCGCATGAAACCCACCTATGGGGCTACAGCCGGTCCCAAGCAAGGATATAAAAAGGGGGTTGGGCATGGGGTTAGCGACCCCATCCCGTAGAAAACTAGCTCGCTAAAAAACGCTAACTAGAAAAAAATTATTCGGACCGTTTAAACTCTGCCCCGGAAGTCAGAAGATCCTCATGTAGAAAAGTTATGAGGCCTCATGGTGAAAGCCGAGTTCCTTCGGAAGTCACGAGGTTGATGCCCCTTCTGACAATCAGAGCAAAGCAGTAGGACCAGACAACACTCCAGCAGAGGCACTGCAAGCAGATGCAGCAGTAAGGTACTGAACGTTCTCTTCGGCAAAATTTGGGATGACGAATAAGTACCGACAGACCGGAAAGAAGGACACCTGATCAATATACCAAAAAACGGCGATCTCAGCAACTTCGATAACTACAGGGGCATCACTCTTCTCTAAATACCTGGAAAAGTCTTCAACAGGGTATTGTTAAACAGAATGAAGGACTCTGTAGACGCCCAACTTCGAGACCAACAGGCTGGACTCCGTAAGGATCGATCGTGCACAGACCGAATCACAACACTACGGATCATTGTGGAACAACCAACTGAATAGAATTCATCACTCTACATCTACTTCATTGACTATGAGAAACCATTTGATAGCATGGACAGGACAACACTATGGAAGCTTCCTCGACACTAAGACGGGCCTGAGAAGATAGTCAATATCATACGGAATTCCTATGATGGATTAAACTGAAAAATCGTGCATGGAGGACAGTTGACAGACTCGTTCGAGCTAAAGACCGGTGTCTGGAAAGGCTGCTTACTCTCACTTTTCCTGTTTCTCCTGGTGATCGGCTAGATCATGAAGACGTCAACATCTGAGGGGAAGCATGGGATACAGTGAAAAGCTAGGATGCAGCTGGATGGCCTAGACTGTGCAAATGATCTGGCTTTTCTATCGCACGCGCAACAAATGCAAAAGAAAACCAGTGTAGAAGCAGTAGGTCTCAACATACACAAAAGGAAAAGCAAGATTCTTCGATACAACACAGCATTCAACAATCAAATCACACTTGACGGCGATTTGGAAGATGTAAAAACTTCTACATATCTGAGCAGCATCATTGAATAACGCGGTGGATCTGACGCAGATATGAAGGCGCGGATCGGCAAAGCAAGAGCAGCATACTAATAATTGAACATCTGGAACTCAAAATAATTTTCAACCAACACCAAGGTCAGAAATTTCAATACAAATGTCAACACAGTTATATTGTATGGAGAACTACGGAAGCCACCATTCAGAAGACACAAGTATTTATTGACAGCTATCTACGCAAAATACTTCGGATCCATTGGCCAGACACTATCAGCAACAACCTATTGTGGGAGAGAACAAACCAGATTCCAGCGCAAGAAATAAGAAAGAAGTACTGGAATTGGGTAGGACACATTGAGAAAAGCAACCAACTGCGTCACAAGGCGAGCCCTCACACGGAATCCCCAAGGTCAAAGGAAAGGAGGAGGACCAAAGAACACATTACGCCGAGAAATGGAGACAGATATGAGAAAAATGAACAATCGGACAGAACTAGAGAGAGAGGCTGTTAGCGGAACATAGACTGGATTAAAGCAAGCTCAATGCACGATTGCTTTGGTGCACGCTGATTGGCTAATTCCTATTCGATCAGCACTAGTCGATAGTTGGAGAATACTCTAGAATCTTCTCATGTAAAAAACTATAAGTATACTGACGTTTTTCCCTATTGTGTTTCCTACATGCTTCTTGCTTCCATCTAACCTTGTTATTTGGAATATAATCTCTTTCCTGTTCAACCGTGTCCTGATTTGGGGACTTGTCGAGTGAATCGGTGTCCGAGAATACTAAGCAATAGGAGTAGCTGGGTCATAACCGTAAGAAGAGATTTATAACAGAGACCCAGGACGGGGGTGGGTCGGAGAATGCTGGTCGGCGGCCTATGCTCCATTGGGAGTAACAGGAGTAAGTAAAGTTATGAACATAAATACCGATAGCTTCAGTAATATACAAAAGACGAACTTGTAAAGCATGATGTAAATTTGATGGAGTACAGTGGATAACTTTAAAAGCTTTATTCAAGTCAATTTGATGTCCTGTGTCCATTAAGTGACCACTAATAAAATTCTTAACCAGCATTACTTCATCTCCGCTCAATCAAGACCGATATTGTTCTGCTATACGATGACGTACTTGGCGAATCGTACCCCCTTTCAATAACAGAAAATTTCAAAAACTGGCAAAAACTGATGTGGCAGGCAGGATTGATAAACCATTAGTAGGCTTCTTGAAATAGATTAAGCAACAAAAATATATATTTCGGAAAGTGTGTTTCAAATGTTGAGACCTACATGAACAATGACATCTAACAATATAGTCTGCTAAATATACATAAAAGTTGGCTCGCCACTTCCATTCGTTTTAGATATGAATAGTTTATTAGGATATACTACAAAAAACAAATTAATGTACGTTCTCAAAATGTTGCACAAACAAACTGCTAAGAATAGTGCCAAGGACTCCTGCGAATTTACTAGTAACACCAGAATATTGCTAGTCAAAAACACCTTCGTGATACCATTATATTTACTTTTTCATTAACTATTAAAAATAAGATCAATGGTAACAACTATCACGAAGTTATGGTCCTTGGAGCTACAGTTCTTTAGTGATGCTACTGAGATGATAATAATAATAACAAATTAAAAAAGTATTTACTGAAGGAAAACTGAACAAGGTTTTCTACACTCTTGTGATAATGAGAACCACGAGTAAAGACAAACTGCCTGGTTCCGCCACTGTTAATCGAAGCGTGAACAATATTTTCAGTAGATATCGTCATTTCATTCTATGTGTGTGGGCTGGGATACTGCCCGGGTGCCCAGACCGAGGCAGGTGGTTTTCTTAGAGGGGCCACACCCCGAGCCTTTGACCTAAAGGTCTGACCCTCAAGGCAGTGGAGCATCGTAAGGAGATGCAGTTCCATGGTAGCCGGTGACCAACAATTGGTTCATACGCCATTTGTTCCCTCAGGATACTGGAACCCATGTGAGCCATTGGTTTGGAATCAGGATTTTCAAACTCCCCTAGGTGCATTCGCCGTGTCGACTTGCCCGGTTTAAGCGCCGGACATTCGCTTTTTGTCCTGTCAATTTCGTAAACAACACCTCCGCCACGAGAAGACAGTGAGTAGCACTTCCTTGGTAGAGGCTGTATACGCGTGGATGTGTGAGAGCATTCCGAGAGGGGTGGGCTATCCTTAATCTCGGCCGTACCAGGGAATTCGGGGGCCACACCCATGTGTGTCAAACGATCCGATTGCTCCCACGGAGCCAATTATATGATGTGTACCATTCAATCGACTCTCAGAGTTTAAGGAAAAGAAGTGTGTTTTTATTTTACCAACGAACATCGTTTTTACATTTGTACAGCTGTGGTAGGAAAGTTATTAAGACTCATATATATCATTTGTTGAGTAAAAATATAGGATACAATTATGATGATAAGAGCAGATAGGTGTCGGGTAACTTCCAAAAGAAATACAGTAACTTACCACTTCCATAAGACACGTTAAAAAGATAGATTTTTCCACCGATAGAAGTGATATTTACGATCAAACCAGGTCGGGCTGAACTTGGATTTGTTTTTTTCTGGTATTCAATCATCATTCGAGTAGCCAAAACAGAACAAATATAGTGATTCTTTAGACCAGTATCATTAACAACATCCCAAGCTTCCCCTGGAGATATGCCTGTAATTTCATAATACGGTTTCCCCATATTTTTCTGTAAAAATGTTACAGCACTATATGCATTGTTAACTACGATATCTAAGCGACCTTTTTGTTCACGATCAATCTGATGAAATAGATTTCCTATTTCATTTTCATTAGAATGATCAACCATAACAGGAATAGCTTTCTGAAAATAATAACGATTGTTTAACACAATCGAAAAAGAATATCTTGAAATGGTAATACTTCAATAACCACCCTAAGATATAAATATACAGTAGAGAAAAAAAATAATTTGCTTTACAATAAACACTTTACATTGTGATTGCAAAAAGATTAAAACAATAACTCATCTACCTAAACTAGGTATTGTCTTAATTTAAAGTTAATAGTTGTGCATGAGCAGGACTTGATTTTGATGGCTAACGAAAACTAATTCACACTATTTGGTTGCACTCCAGTATTAATAGCGGTAACTGGATTAACGACAAAGTCAGTTAGTCATAACCAATATAACATTTAGGACGAATAACCAACTGCTCAAGTTGTCACATCAGTCCAGCATAAGGAGGTGAAACCAATGAGTATTAAGATAGTTGAGATATTACAACCAATAATAGTAGGACTAGAACTAAACAAAATGGTTTGAAAAGAGATGAATTCGAGTAAAGGAAAGCGCAAAATAATGTCGAAAATTGAGAGCTGAGAAGAAACGAGGAATGAACTTATCTCCATCACTGTGATTCTGAACAATATCATGCAGGTTATCCAACCGGTGATCACGATTATTACGCAGACCCTAACCCCGTAGTCTGCACTTACAAATACGGCTTAAATCAACAGTAAATAACTTAATAGATCTATTTTACATTTTGGTTCGGCCACATCTAGCTTTATTCCAATTCCAGTCAGTATTGAGTGTCGAGTTATAGCAACAACAAATGACGTCAAAAGTTAGAAAAATATATGAGATATGAAGACATGGATTTAAAGTATAAGCAACAAACAAGTGAATCTATACATTTCATTTTCTACTTAGTAACAAAATTACTTAGGGTGATAATATGATTTCTACAGCTGGTTTTGTTGAGTCACGTTCTCTAACAAACAGAAACGTCCGATATTCAGACTTTTATAAGGTAACCCTGTTAAAAGCTTGACTTGTAACTAGAATCGTACCTGCATTACTCTATTAAGATGTGCAGACAGTGTCATCAATGTTCGCACGATTGATGTATTTCATAACCTGGGATACAAAATTCTATTTACCTGATTAGCAACATTCAGAACAATCTAGAACTTCAGAAGTGAGGACATAGCATCTCTCGACGTGGGAAAATCAGTTCAGACTGGAGAAAAACTTCGACTTTTCATGTGGATTTGGGTAGTATAGTTATCTCAAATGCTTAAAGTATGTCAACATAGAACGCAAATCTCGAAAACCATATTTACAGCAATTAGTAAAGCAATTTTGTGCAATGAGAAAAACACAGGTAAAGAGTTAATAATACCTACACCACCAAAGTTATTGATGATATCTGACGTTTCCTGGAGACTACCGCCAACTCCGCCATTAAGCGGCACTGATGTTCGTCCAGTTAAATACACTGTGGCTCCAGACTTTCCTAAAGATATTGCTATGCCTTTACCAATGCCACGAGTAGCTCCCGTAACAAGACATACACAACCAGTTAGATCTTTCATTCTTCAAATTATGCGTTCCTACAACAATAAGAAGTGTTCACTGTAAATAAAACAAAAAAATTAGTCGGCAGAACAGCCTGTTAGTCTACAGAGTTACTTCGAAATTAAAAGAACTCTCTAGACACGCCCACGTCAACGGTCTGTTGAACAATGACCACTCGCATTTATAGCAACATTCCTGCTGCTGAACCATGGTGCGGCTTTATGTCGTGGAAGAGTTGATGTCACCTTTGTCGGTCGGTCGGGTTTCCACGTTTAAACATACCCTCACCAAACACTAGTGAAAACACCAGGCGTAGCGAAACCGTTTAAATTGCGCGAGAGAGCAAAAGAGTATTAACCATACACAGCTGGACAGTAAATATAAAGTAAGCTAGTAAACCGGAATTAAATCCGAAACTATGAAAGATGTATCACGATTTCTAAAAAATATAAAAATTTAAAAGTGGTGTTTTCACTTCGGCAGTACATACACTAAAATTTGGAACGATAGAGAAAATTAGCATGGCTCCTGAGCAAGGATTACACGCAAAACCGTGAAGCGTTCCATATTTTCTTCATTTTGTTTAATCGCGCCTTTCGAATGGAAGGTTTAGTCCTGATGTGATTCACATTTATCTAATTTTAGCTGTGTTCTTACTCTACAAAAGCACCATTTATGACCGAAAGAATATATTCTGAGCTACATGTTCGGCCGATTACTTTTTTTCGAGTCTCACTCAATTAAATAGTTAAATTTAGTTTGGCCTCAGCTTACTATTCGGTTTTTTTCAGCTTATCTCGTCCGTTATTATCCATTTTTGCTCGTTTTAGTGTGCTTTTTAGTGTATCTTTTTACAGTCTTCGGCTTTTGCTGGCATGTGTAACGCAACTTAAGTCAATAAGTCATGAAAAATTCATGCAAACGACCTGGATGCCATTTTCTTGTTACATCTGGCATGCAGTGCGACAACTGCAAAGGTTGGTTCCACGAAGCGTGCACAGATCAAACAGCAACTGCTTACAACAGAGTCAGCAAGTCGGATCACAAGTGGGAATGCGTTACGTGCAGCACGGATGTTGTAGTCCTGCTGAGTAACATCATTTTCCTATTGACAGGTCTGCGGAATAAGTTGTCAGCAAACTTGGAAAAAGATAGTCATAAAACGGGTAGACAAACAAGGACGCGCAACGAAAACAAGAATAGGAATGTCGACAGGTCTACCATCGATGGAGCATGCATTAGTACTAATGATGACATGTTGAAACTCAGCACCATCATTACGTTGATGGTAATAGACTCCCTCAGTAAACTCGGGTTTCCCTGCTCAGGATCCTTGGATGCAACAGTGGTTCCCAAAAACTCTGTAGGTGATTGAACACACGTTGACAGAGCTAGAAAGAACCAGAGGTCACCGTCTAAGCTGAACATCCCAAGTGTTGTACGGAAATCAACTGATGATTTAGTAACACAGTCTACCCCCCAAGAATGTCTGTCCAGTCATCAAAGCGCCTAGGAATCAGAAACGTGCCTCGACCTTCAATTAACAAGGTGCTGAACCTGAACGCACCGGACAACCTGGGGAAACAATAACGGTTTGTGTTGACGCTCTCATAGTCATGAACTTCAAAGACAACCCTGACCTTTCTCTCAGTTTGCAGGATAAAAATGATAGGATGCTCTGGAGTGAATGGACAAGAAACCTGAACTTCCTAGAATAGAGCCTTTGACGGTCACACGGCTCACTCGACGGAAGGAATCTATGCATCAAAATCACTCGAGTCTACTTCATGTAACACTTAAGAATGCAACTGACGTAGAAGATATCCTGCTAGCTAGTCATTTACTGAAAATCGATGGGAACGTAAGAATACTACCCAACATACCATATTCTGAGTGCAATCTCATCCGGAACATCCCTAAAGAATCTCGCGAGACGTTATTCCGCGTACGAAATATAACTGTGTAAGGTGTACCGGAAAACATGGACCCTAGTCGAGCAAACTCTGATATTAGGGAATTGAAATTCATCAAACAGTCCTGGAGGCTCAAAAACATACTGACTCAGCATGTGACGAGACTAGCCATGAAGGATTGTGATCTTAGACCCTGTCTAATGAAGATAACCTTCCCATCTTTCCATATGGCGGCTGCAACTCTGGAAGCATTTCGTGCCAACGTACGTCGGTTGCCAACTGGAATCCACATGCACCCAGACAGGCCATATGAAACCAGAACCAAACACAAAGGCAAGTCGGAGCTGATCATTAAACTTATGGACTGTCTCGATGATAAAAAAACGTGTAAAGGACAGAGCCTACCAACAAACCTTATATAGGTAGGACACCTGTCCATTCACGTAAGACTCATACAGACAAGCAAGACGAAGCTCACGCAGTTCAAATTGAAAGCATAAACTGCTTATGCATCAACGTCGCGAGCTACGCGGACTCAGCAATGCTAATAAGGTTCATCTGATAGGAATATCTGAAACCTGGATATCTTCTCAGTTCTCAGAACAGGAGCTAGCAACACCTAGGATGTCTTTGTTTCGCAACGACAGAAAAACAGGAATTAGTGGTGGAGTAGCTGTACACATATGATCTTGCTTGAAGGTACACCAGGTTCACAATCTCGAGTTTAACAATCTAGAGGAATCCATATGGTGATCTGTAAGATTGTCCAGTACTTCGAGGTGTCTAGTCGGAGTCATTTACAGGAAACCAACTGCCGACATCGAGTGCGACAGCCGTATGCTGGAAGGACTATCCTGATTTTAGGGGACTTTAATCTCCTTAGAGTCAACTTCGCGGGACATACTTATATTGAAATGAAAACTCAACTGAAGCTCGGTTCTTCAACCTCATTAAGAATTAGGGATTATACGAAAATGCGAAGTCGACAACTCGTTCGAGAAACAGTTAGACACCATCACGCTTAGACTGTGTATTCACAAACGAAGAATTCCTAGTAGAAAACCTCTCAATCCTGGCTCCCCTGAGAAAAAGCGATCACGCCGTCATAGCCTTCAGTTTTGTCAGCAAAACTAAGCTAATATATCCCACCGATGACTTGCATTGGAATTTTAAATGGTTGAATGTGCCAGCTCTACACGACTATCTACAGCAGGTGGTTTGGGCTATTCACCCTCAGCTCGATGTGGATACTCATTGGGAATTCTAACTGCACACGCTCTCATGTGCTACAAAGAAGTCAGTTCCTCAAACGGTTCCCAAAAGCTGTAAGCCAACTATATTAATCAAGAACCGTACGCTTCGCCTGCTATGCCACAAAAAGCACTGTAGATCGGAATACAAACGAACTGACGACGATGGAGCGTACAGGCAATACAAACATATAAGAGACATATGCAAGAAGGCTATTAGAGAAGATAGGCTTCAGTACCAGACAAAGCCCATGGACATGGTCGATTCCGCCATACTGAGGGAAGCAGCCTCAATCCTGGCAACGCCGCTTAGTGTGCTGTTCTCACACTCGCCAAGCCGAGGAAAACTACCGGAAAATTGGAGGCTGGCTCACATCACACCAATTTTCAAAAAAGATTTACGCAATGAACCTTTAAGTTACCGACCAGTGGCTCTTCTCTCAAGACATTTGTAGCGTGGCGTCGAGTGGAGATTGACTATGAACACCGCTACCAAGAAGCTCGTTCCAATTGACTCCATAAAATCCCCGAGAGGCCGAATATCAGAAGTCATTTAATGGATCAAATCAAGGTTTATTTGCTGGCGATCTCGTGGCATCAAAAGGATACCAAAATCGTAGCAGGATACAAGCTTGGTTACAGAAGGTAACCGAATTCGCGCGAAGTTACAATCGAAGTGTAAGGATAAGAATGGAAGCACAATATAGCTGTCATTAGCACAGTCCAACAAAAGAACATTAAAACAATCACTGGTACAATTGGTCATAATAATAATTGTTTTTATTAAACCAGTCGTGTTCTCGTGATAAATGTGAGTCACTATAATAGGATGTGAAATTTATTTAGGATTAACATTCCACGCAATCCAGTGCATGCAATCTACTAGTATTACTGTCACGATTACATTCTAAAGGACATACGTTCAAACTACTTGACCAATTGAGAAACAAATATATTGTGCTAAGTCGTACAAATAAAGGTATTGCGAACGTTGTTATGAATCAAAAGGATTATATTTCAAAATCACCCTTGTTTCAGTTTGATACCAAAATGTTTCTTAGATTAAATCTCAGAAAGATGTCACAGAACAAACTGGACATAAATTATTTCAAGTATTTAACAAGATGAATCAATTATTAGTGAAAACCTCTTGGAAAAAATTAGTCCAACTGGAACCATTGCTCCACGTTCATATGACCTCCCAACTACATAAAATATTATTCTATGCCGTATATTTGGCATGAATAACTTGCCATATTGTGGGATTACTAAATGGCTGGCTACAAATTCTACGGCCAGTCAAAAATCAACTCAGTAGATGCTTCAATACTGATTCAGTGTTCTGCGTCAACGCAATCAGATATATAATTTTATTAAATGTTACCTCTGCTTCCACAAATGTATCTCCCATGGAAGCATATTGCTTACTATGTTGTATCGAAGACAATAAACTTGATCTCGATGTTTCATGCACTTTCTCGAACAATAACTTCTTCAACGTAATTTTGAACATCGAATTAGAATCATACGAGATTCATAAACTAAATGACGGTGTAGAGATAGAATCACCACCCACCCCACTTCTAGCTAACAGTACCTAGACTATCAATTGATAATTTCGATTTATACAGAACAGTGTCGTTATTTGGGACAAAAATACCAATTTCAACGTTCTGGATAAGTTCAGTAGTTACCATAGGTCAACTAAGTTCACAACAGAATCATTGTTTGATTCGGAAACCCGCTCTCTAAGTATTTTGTTTAAGAGATCAAATGGTTTTCTACAAAGGCTGATATATAGAAAGCCTACCTGGAATATCTGGTAGACGAGTTTCCAAAGTTGGGCGTCACTGA